AGAGAGAAAAAAAATAAGAGGCAAAATAAATCACAAACAATTGCAAAGTTAAAACCATTCCGCTGTGCATTGTGTCCCCTGTCTTTTGCCCAAAGGACACCACTGAAAAACCATATAATGACGCACAGTGAGGAGAGACCTTTTGCGTGTAGAATCTGTGAGAAAACATATAAGAGAAATTCAGAACTGATCAGACACACTATGGTACACACGGGAGAACGTCCTTACGAATGTAAAGAATGTCTTATGACATTCAGAGAGAAAACTAAATTAAATTCACATATGGTAGTACATACAGGTGAGAAACCCTTCGAATGTCGCATATGTCATAAATTTCTGGCGAGAAAATCGGACTTGACAAGTCACATGCTGTCTCACACTGGAGGGCAGTACGATTGCAAGATCTGTGAAAAAATATTCACCAGGAAGTCTGATCTCAATCGACACGTACTGGTGCATACCGGAGAAAAACCGTTTGCCTGTGATTTCTGTGATATGGCTTTCAGAGAGAAGGCAAGGCTAAATGCACACTTGGTGATGCATACCGGGGATAAAAAACATGTTTGCAGAATCTGTGAGAAGAGGTTTAAGGATAAACAAGGGTTGAAGAAACATATGATTGGACATGCTGGAGATAGACCGTATGGGTGTTTTGTTTGTAAGAAAAATTTCAAGATGAAGAGTACTTTGGTGAGTCATATGCAAGTTCATGAGGCAGAGGCTGACGAGGAGTGTAAAAAGGACGGAAAGAATTTCGAAGAGGAAGACAAGTCGAAGAAAAATTCAGTGGGGCTTGAGAGGGAGGGGAAGAGGTTCAAAAGTGAGGGAGATGACTTGCACGTGGTGGATCAGAGCAGTGACTGAACCCCAATTGTAAGAATATCGATATGAATTGTGAGAGGATAGGAATCTCTCTAAACTCGGGTAAAAAAGAGGACATGAAACACATTATTAGAGATTTTATATTGACATCCGAACGGATATCAGTGATTTATTGTGAACTTTATGAATCCGCGTTGAGTGAAATGTGAAGTAGTTGTAATAATGCAATTATCTCATCAAATAGTCACGTTTACAGGATAAATTATAATAAATATTAATCACCGATGCGAATTACGGAGGTTTTGTTGTATCCTTGTAGAGCGACGATTTCGCCTTGAGGATTCCATTTGAAATTCAATACTTTCATGGCTTTTGGAGACTCGAAGGACGTGGCTGGTTTCCTTGGCCTCCATTCAAAAATCAGAGAGGATTCGGAAGAAACCAGAAGTCGAGTTTTGATCGGTTCCCAGGAAATTCCTAAAGCATAAACGAAATTGTGATGATGAAACCTCAATGGGTGAAATTTTTTTAATTTATCGAAATTCAGCGCTCACCAGAAACTGAATTTTTTAATAACAGATAATCAACACAGTCATCCATGAGATCCCAGATCCATACCGTAGCTGGATACAGTTGATGTCTAATGGCTAAAAATCTCCCACAAGGACTGAACTCAATAGTATCAATTGCAGCGATTGTCACGTTCCAATTTATCGGTTTGATATCAATTTCGATGTTGATAGGTCTTTCATTAATTTCCTGCACTGAGGGAAAATGATCGTATCATAATTGAGTGGATTAAAAAATTTTTCCAGACTTTTCACATACTTTTATGTTTAATATGGTGGTCTGGGAGTGAGAGAGAATCAATGTGAGCCGCCCAGTCTCTCCTCTTCACCTCAATTTCTTTAAAGACTTTTCCAAGATAATTTCCCTCTCGTATGACCGGATCACAATATAATGATACAATTGCCGTCCAGGTGACATAATTTACGACTACAATCTGTGAGTTACGGTATAAAAAGGATTACAATTATTAAAATAGATTACATATTGATGCAGGATTTTAATAAAATTCATTAAAAGCCATTCTTTATAGCTTTTAATTTAGAATTCATCTTAATCCGACTCTTTGTGAAATTACCATCTCATTATATCCAACGATAGCTAGTAACTGTCCTTCAGGGCTCCAGACCACTTTATCTATACCCTTTATATTTTTTTCCTGTAAGGATTTCGTAATTCCATTCGTCGGTCCATTTTTCTCCCGGTCTCCGCCACTGAATGCTCCAATATGGGAATCTGTCACGCTCGAGTAAACCAGTAATCTAGAGTTCTCAATAGTTGAACACCAAATGGCTAATAATTCACCATTTGGAGACCAGCAGACTCCGTCGATTCCAAATAGCTTATCACACATCAATTTCTGAAACAAAAAGAGATAATTGCTATTTTTTTAATGTTCAAGAAGTATTTCCAAAAAAATTTTCAAAAAAATTCCGACCAGTTGACGTGGTGAATGTCATTTTCTGCGTTACGAAATTGATATTCATTGGAATTTGAAAATTTTATGGAGTCACTTAAATTTTAATTGGACTAGGTTAAAGGTCACATGGGGGAAAAAAATTTGAGTGACTCCATAAAATTTTCAAATTTCGGTGAATACCAATTTCGTAACAATAACATTCACCCTGTCGACTGGTCCCTCTGACAGCGGGACTTCTACTGAGGCAGTTACTGAATCAGCTGACGGGTAGACACCCCCATTGCGTGTGGCGCCCTCCCCCTGGGAGGGTGCAGTACTACGATGCCGGTGGAGTCACTCAAACCCCCAGAACTGAGCCTCTACTTTAGTCAATCCTCTTTGCTTTCCACCATGACATTTTCCAGTCCATGTTTTTTTTAACTAAAGGACAGATTTTGAATTAGTCACGTGCGACTGGTATGAAAAACGAATAATGTCAGCAAATTACATATCTTGTGCCTGCAACTGTCA